TTTTCGTACAAAACTAGGTTTCCGGCCTTCCCCACCCCCTGGATGTATATCGCGCTTGCCCCACGAGCACCACATGGGTATTCCATCATCCGAAGCATGTTAGGCTAAAGTTGACACCCTGCTCGTGCGTTGAACTTATTCTCTGAGAATAGCATCGGTCTTGTATCCATAACGGGCCTTACATCCGTTACACCCATACGTGGGAACCCAGATGGATTGCAACACTACATACGTTGCCCAACTCCACTACCACCTTCAGATAGAGTAGTGCACGCAACCCTAACTCAAACCTAAACATGACCTCTGCACACCTTGAAATTTTCTGGCATACGCAACCCAAAGCCCTTGCTTTCAATTGCAATAGCAACTATGCCGACATCACCGATGATGCCGACAATGCAATGATCATCGATCTGCTCTCGTAGCTTCACCAGCTCTTCTGTGGCTGGCGCCACGTCAAGGTAATTCGTATAGCCGGTGAAGGCAACCCACCACCACCACTCTTTTCGCTACCAACAGGCTTTATGTCGAATCATGCGAGCTTCTCGATCCTCTCTGCGGATAGCGCATATTGGTATCCTTCACACGGTCTGTAAGCAACGGGACCACGACGACTGCTGGACTAATTACAGATGCTTGCATCATCTATACAGAGGCACCGGCAATTTGCTGGACGAGCGATGCTTTCCACGATCTTGTTCCGGAAACAACAAGTGTCTTGCACGATCGGATAGCTCATGTTCATTTCTATTGCTATTGACGTCTATTCTGCAGACATATCCTCGCCCTGTCTCTTTCTCTTATCGTATTCCCCCCTTAGTGGAATTTCGCACTGACCCCTCCATACCTCACTCCATCAACCTTCAATTCAAACACCAATCCCGCACTCTCACACCGCATATCCAGTGTGAAATCTAGATTATCAAACTCCACCCCCTTTGTCGTCGTCAACCGCGTGAACAAGCTCTTTGGCACCGTGTTCAGGTCGGTAGTAAGTGTGCAAACGTTGATGAGGCCCTTCTTGAAGGAATCAGGAGCCGTGTCAGAGTCGCAGGCTATGAGGTCGTCTTCTACGATGAGAGATTGGCCAGGGCGAAAGTTGCGCGTGTAGTGGAAGGATATGGGTCGGTTTTCCGACACTTGTGCGCCCTGACAGGAGTGTTAGTACGCCGTGCGACAGTCATGGTCATGGTAGGTGCTGGATTTACGTACCTTTGCGATGTGCCACTGCATGCGATCGGACACCATCCATCGCTCCCAAAGCGGACTCCAATATCGATCGGAAATGGGGTGCTTTGCCTCGTCGAATACTGTCGCGTAGCTGGTTCCGTAATGCCATCGACTTCTTCTGCTAATGACCATATTGCCTTCCAACCCGCGCAGTACTGCGCCTCGTACTACCGCCGTCCATGCGTGTATGGGGTGATATATCTCGACTGCCTGCGAGGCGTTCAATGCGACAGCGTGCGTAGGTCTTTCTGTGTACGGAGGCGGGGGCGCGCTGTTGAAGTGAGACTTCATTCGACCATAGAGGTAATTGCTCTGTCCGAAGCCCCCAACCAAGACAATGCCACACACCAAACCTCCTTTCGCTCTTATACTGTGAACCTGACCTTCTACTAGATCAATGACCTCTTGGACTACTGGATCGAATAATTCTTTGACCTGCTCTGCGCTCATGACAAGGAACCCAGAGTCTAATCCTGCTTCCTCATCGTCCGGCAGCCCCGGGAAAGGTATATTGACCTCATTGTGTTCCTCATCGTTGAAATTGCGCTTCACAAATTCCTCAAAGTACTTCAAGCCCATATTCCAAGTCTTCACCTTCTTTTCGCGCATCCAATTGTAACGTTCGGTGCCAATGCGCTGCTTGACATGGTCTTCGAATCGGTAGTTGATAAACGTCGAGCCGCAGAGGCCGCCGGTCCCGACTGCCGATTCTTCGACACGCAGAGGATGGAGTTGGGTAATCTTGTAGGCTATCAAGTCGACAGTGCCACCTCCAGCATCACAAACAATGAAATTGTCTCCGATCTTGAGATGGTTTGGTTGTATCGCCTTGAGGGTATAAACCGCTGCGGCCTCGGGCTCCGATATGAGCTTCAGCTCATGTCTGTTGCCCATGCCAGCTTTCTCCGCAGCCTTGAGCGTCGCATCTTTGGCCGAGTCTGACCAAACAGCAGGTACTGTCAAAACGAATTCAACCTTGGTCAAACTGATAAACGTCTCCCCATATCTCCGTGTCAATGTTTCCATAGTATGCTTGTATATCTGCGATAGGTAGTCGGAAACTGCTTCCATAACCGTCTTCTCAAACTTGCGTAATTGCGCAGCAGTTTCGAGCGGTGATACAAAATGCGGCAGTTTCTGGTTCCTATCGAGAAATAGCTTTATGCACCGGAGACGCGTCTCCTCTGGCTTGAATTGAAAGCCCCATTTTATGTTCTGCGCGGGTTTCGCGGACGCATCGAGCGAGGAGGTCGAGCCGTTGGCGGGGGGTGATTCGCTGTAACCAATTTCTGTGGGTACTTTGTCGGAAGTGATGCCTGCGCGTGTATGTTAGTTTGGAGAGGCATGACATCGGTATATCTCAAACAGAACTTACCGTTCCCTCCGGGCCATGTCTTGATGATGTCGATGTCGTCAGGGGTTGCACTATATACAGCAGCCACACCTATTGAGCTTCAGCGTCCAATCGTGTCGGTCGCATAGTGTGCAATAGTTGCTACCAACCGCTGTAGGTGGTTCCAAAGTCAACGCCGACGACCAACCTGTCCTTCGTAGGGCCACCTATTTCGGGTACGCTGGTTATGTCCACAGTCGCATTGCTTCCAGGGTTGAATGTGTACGGGATACTACTCCCTCGGTTCGGAAACGTATGGCTCATTGTCGTTCTTCGTGGCGTTGAACGCGGTGCTTGTGTTGATGGCTCTGGTAGATCGCGTAGATGTCGCGTGGGTCAGACCGCGGGGCTGAATCCTACCAAAATGCACCGGGGTATCATGGACGTGTAGGTTGGCGCGGGAAAGACGTCGAGGTCATAAATGTGTTTGCCTGAAAAACATTGAATGATTCAGGCACCGGCGAAATGCGCAGTCAGTGTCATGTCGAAGCCTGGAGTGGCGCGCTACCCATTGCTGGAGAAGATGTCCAGCTGCAGGCCCTAGTTGGTGATCATCAGCTGGCCCAAGGCTGCAGGATTCTGTCCTGCCAGGCATAGTATTGCCGTCCCACATGGAACCATGCGACGATGATATCCCTCGAACCGGGTGTCGAAGGTTTGTCCTGGTGAAGCTTTGAAGTTCGTTCCGATGCGACCCTAAATCGGAACGCGCCCCGGGCTCAACTATGACCGAACGAAAGAGTTCTGGTTAGTTTCAGCACTTCAAGCCAACGACTTTAGTATGTATTAACATCTGCAGAATCTACTCACCGCTTGAAGCGCGGCACGAGACTAATACCGAAATCGACCAAGACCTCCGCGAATACCGTCGTCACTCCACCGAAAGCCGCCATCGCTGCTCCAAATGCGAGAAAAGACGAAGTACACCGACGCAAATATCCCTTCAATGATATGCTGAAGCGCAAAAGTGGAGGTGTGGTAGATCTCCCGAGCGATACTGCACCTTCAGGGCCCAGCAATGAGTTCATCCACAGACCAGAGATGCTGCCACCAGGCGACGATGCTACGCGGATATCACATAGAGTCGCGGACCTCGAAAGAGCTCTGGCGATCGCAAAAGAAGAGCAGGAGATGGCCAGAGAAGACTTGTCGAGACTGAGACATTCTAGACAAGCAGATCAGGACACAATCGAGGAACTCAGGCAGCAACTTGCTGAGAAGAGCTCGAATACGGGTGGAGCCCCGGTTGGCGGGCCGAGTGGCCTACAAAGAGACACTGGAGTGCCGGGACACTTAGGCAATGGGAGGGAAGATGCTTTGCGCCAGAACTCAGATTTGCGCTACCGAGTTGCGCAACTCGAAGAACAGCTCGAAGAACAACTCGCATCACATGACGGATTGTATCCACGCAGCCTTGACCGACCGCAGTCAAGAGGGGAGGCAGACGACCTGCGGCTACGCCTCCATGCCTCCGAAAAAGAGTCGCAAGAGAGGCTCCAGCAGCTTCTGGCGCTGAAGTCAAGCATATCTTCGCTCACGCGTACGGATTCGCAGATCACGGACAGCGAGCTTGCAGAATCGTTCTCCCAACTTGCAAATCGCGTGCGAGAATGGACTGTCTCAAACTTTAGGCGGTCAAGATTGAACCTCGATAACCTCCCAAAAGAGACTGAAGATGTGCTTCGCGCATTGAATCCGCAATACAGGGCTAGCATACAGAGCACGGATAAACTTGCCTTGTACCAAGCCGTTGTCTCGACATCACTTATGCAAGTCTTTGACAATTCGATCGTGTTTGGGTTGCCTAGCACAGGTCCATTGGGTGCGCTGCGACAGTTTGCTGAGCGCACACAACACCTTGGTACCGCACATCGAGAGTGGGTGCGCGCTACGGTACAAGTCCTCGAGCGCAGCGAAGCAAACGGGGAAATCCAGAAAGAGAGCGAAGCGTCAATACATCGACTCGCCGGAGAGGCTAGCCATATACTCTTCACGCTGACTTCTGTGAGTCTTGCGCCCAACGCACAGTCAACGTTGGCCGGTATGTTGAAAGACGCAATGGGCTTGCAACGAACACTCGCCCTACAAAAAGCGCGTTACAAGCTACTCTTCTTTCGCCGACAAGACGACAATATGCAGTTTGATGACCGTACCATGGAAACTGTGAACGACGTTGATCCCGCTATGGAAGATGATACTGACATGGAAATTGATCGCAAATTTCTGTTCTGCGCTTTTCCAGGCCTCATAAAGTACGGGGATGAGTGGGGAGAGAACTCTGAGATGAGCAACATAGTATTGAAAGCGAGGGTGTGCTCTGGCGTGAGTTGAAATAAGAATATAGCAAATGTAACTGCGATATCAAGACTACCCCTTCTTAACCAAGTACGACATCGATGAGCTCCCGGTCAGCTGCTTCCCATGCTGCTTTCGTGACCTGACCAACGGCTTTTCTGTAGGCGACACCGTCTGTCCATTCAATCCAAAGGACGTTGTAGAGGTCCCATATGCCGTTAGGTTTACGATGTTCCCGAGGAAAATAGTCATCGTGATAGAGTTCATATTTCGCTCTACTCTCGGTCGAAATTGCGATCAGTTCGACTCCCATCTCGGTCTCAAGCTGTGATTCATGCCAGTCCCCAGGCAGGCGGATGACACCTGAAGATTCCCTCATGGTGTCAAGGATGTGCAGAAGTATGGGCTCAAGATGACCTATGGGCTTGATCTGACGTAAGTAGAAGTAGGCGTGCTCAGCCTGACATGTGATTCGATTCGAAATAGGCATCGGTATCATTATCTCTGAGCACGACGAATCCACGAGTGGGATTGGGAAACGAAATGCGAAACTAGGGGCAGCTGGTATAATGTAAAAATTCTCTCTCTGCGAATCAGAGCTGCTAGATGAAGATTCAGCTCGGTTCCATCCGGGAGGCGGAGTGCTTTCGCTGTCTCGTGCGAAATGCTTGTACTTGTGGTATTCGTTCGCAATCGCAATCTGTGCGCCTCCTACACCAGTGAAGTACCATTGAACAAGTGGAGTAATGACAACTGTTGATGGTATGTTGTATACAATCTCTTGAGGGTCACGCGGGCATGCTATTCCTTCAAAAACAGCAGCCTGGTTAATAGTGTCCAAGTGTCCGCGCCAGCTCATCCATGACCAACTCGGCGGTCGGTTGCTCTCATCGCTGGTCGCATCCCACGGTCTTTTCGCGCATGCAGACCCGGAATAATTCCATAGAAGTGCAATATCAAAGAATATTACAGGAAGCCCGTACAGTATGCCACCAGGGAACGACTTTGCAAGTAAAGTGGCAGCACCTGCAAATGCTATAACAACGTCGGAATCAGAGGTGAAGACTCTTGATGAGTATGACTTGCAAAGCTTTAGATAACGATAGAAGTTGGGCCAACGGTGACCTTGGCTAAGCCACACATCGGTCACACCCTTGTAAAGCGATCTGCATGACTCTGTTGCTACAGTGGGATCAGGATGGTAATCATACCACCATGTTTGTTGGCATACCCAATATAGAGACTTGGGACATGGATCACCGGGCCAAGCAACATCTGGAACGAGGTTAAGGAAGGATAAAGTACGCCGCGCAAATACTCTTTCTTGGAAAGTCCTAAGACACAATAGGTAAACCATTAGTTTATGCACCTCGAATCATAGCTTATACTGTGTGCCACTTACCACCCTCGACGGCTCCATGTACTATGAATGTCCATGAATGCAGTTGTATGATGCTTATCATGCCACTTGTTGAGGGGAGTTTCGTTCAGCATTTGATCGATGTCGTCGACCAGACCGGAGTCCGCTACTTTGCCCGTAACAGCAACAAGTGTCAGATACGAATTTGCGTATATTTCCGCCATACGTTTAATCTGTCCATGCTTATGTTCTTCATCATCTTGTAGGATCGATAGTTGGTCTATCCAGATGTATCGCTATCCAAATAGCCGGGTGACGTCTATAGCCTGTCGTATTGTCTTGGGCAGAACCACTTTGTCTCTGGTGAGACTTCCAGGCTGCCTGAGTTGCTCGATGTTTGCAGTGGTTGCCTGCAACGTTTGTACCCCACCCCACACGTAGCTTAGTGTAAGATAACGGTCGGCAATATCGCCTTCGACTATGCACTCATCCACGACGTCGATAACCCACATAGGCCATATACTAGCGTCAGCTTTTGGTGTGCAACACTGTGAGCCGTGATGCTCGTCGCATGCTTTCATCCAGCTCTTGATCATATCAAGCCGCGTGTCCGTTGCGTGTATCGTTGAGCTCGTAATGCCGCTCTCGTCGCCCGATGTGCCATCCTCATCAGTCGTCCAATCCGAGTCATCCTCGCTTATACTGTCTCGTAGGGACATACTGCAGGATTTGGTGTACCGTGTTGTAAGCTGGAAGAGGATGAGGTGAGCGAAGGAATTGCATCTCATGAGCAAGAAGGCTGAGCCTTGCTCGCTTGACTGTGCCACTACCTCGCCTATCCTGCGCTCATCCTACAGCCTTCCGTCGCAGAGGAACTACATGTCTGCCTATTAAAAACAGCGCTCTTGCGTCTTCCCGAGCGTCACTCTAACTAGGAGGCTCCGTAACGAGTGCTACCTACACCTATCGTTTGTTCGCAGAAGCAAGCTGCAAGCACCTGTCTAGATGGGTATGCTTTCGTTCATGTCATCTTTCGTACTTACGAAACGATAGCTTGACCTTCAGCATTGACTTCAAGCTGGTAAGCCTTGGATGATTTCGATCGTGGTTTTATCAAAAGTCGAATGCAAGATCTGAGGGTAGCGCGATACCAGAGCCAATCTTGACAAGCAGCGATGACGTCACCTCGCAATACCTATCTCCCAGCCCCAGGAAGCTTATGTCTAATCACATCACAAGTTCTCTTTTTGAAGATTCTCTCATGCATCTGTTGAACGCGTTCGCTTCTCTTCGAGCTGCTCTTGCATTAATTGGCGGAGGACCGGCCGGTGTTTGAAACATGGCGGTCGGACAGACCCGCCCTATAATTGTTTCATTATCAGGAGAGCTCTCTATCGCTTCGTACGACCAGACCGCCCTTGGGTCGCACTAGAACGACATTGTCTGCTTCCGACACCGCCGAGTCGACGTGTGAGCACTGAGAGGGCGCTGAAGGGGCGGTGAGGGCTACTTAGCCTCCAAGCACTATCAGTTCTCTTGACCCTATACTCGATATACGCGTTCTTCACGCACATCCGGAAGCTACGCTTGATCCGTCATCAGGTACAGTATTTTAGCGCTGAGGCTCACAAAAACAAGCATTTTACCCCGGATTGTTAAACTTCAAACCCAAGCTTTTCGAGAATTCCCATTTAGCCAGGACGGTTCGGCTCCACACCGGTACATCATCTGACCACGCGGCCGCGACGCCATCCATCTACCCATCGCGCGACGTACCGAGAGTCCTATACGTTGCAGCCCTCTATTTGCTCGCTTGGTCGCTTTTCTCCCGAAGACACTAGGATCCATATGTACCCCAGACGGCCGAGGCTTGGTTCTGCATGAAACAGACGTGAGCTACGGCAATAATCCCTGTCCGATCTTCATCACAGGACTGTTCAGATAAATTGCGACGACGGATGAAAGGACCATCTGTGCACCAAGACAAAGCAAAGCACCACTTTGTACCCCACTGATAGGACATAATGTATAGACGAGGCAATTGATTCTGCCTAAAGGACAGCTGCAGTGGATACATGAAACTTTCTTTATAAACACATCGACCGCTGCCCAGACTTGATCATCACAACTCCTTGACATCTCAACTCAATCCGAAGCACAGTATCCACTTCCTTCAACGTCAACATGAAGTTTTCAGCAGCAGCAGCTCTCTTTATTGGTCTCGCCGCCGCCGGCCCTGTCGAGATCGCTGAGCGTCAGAGCTGCCCCAAGGTCTACATCTTCGGAGCTCGTGAGACCACTCAACCCCAAAGCAATGGCTACGGTACCGCTGCCGGGCTTGTAAACTCGGTCAAGTCTGCCTATCCTGGTGCGGGCTCCGAAGCCATCGTGTACCCAGCGTGCGGTGGAGGCTCGTCCTGCGGAGGTGTATCCTACGACAACTCCGCTTCTCAAGGAACCGCAGCGGTTGTCAAGGCCGTTACTGCCTACAACCAGAAGTGCCCTAGCACTCAGATTGTCCTTATCGGATACTCTCAGGTACGGATGGTTTCATGAACCCCAAGAACGCCGAATGCTAACAGTCTGTAGGGAGGTCAAATCATGGACAACGCCATCTGCGGCGGTGCTGGTTCCACTTTGACCGGCAACGCCCTCAAGGCCGTCAAGGCGGCGATCTTCATGGGTGACCCACACAACCGCAACGGTCTTCCCTACAACGTCGGTACCTGCAAGGCCCAAGGCGTAAGTCCACTATTTCTCCAGCCCTTGGTATCCTCACTAACGAGTACTTTAGTTCGCCGCCCGCCCTGCTGGATTCACCTGCGCACCTGCCAGCAGCAGCATCATCCAGAGCTACTGCGACTCTCAGGATCCATACTGCTGCAACGGAAACGACGCCAACCACCACCAGCAGTACGTCAACATCTACGGCAACCAGGCTCTCACCTTCATCAAGAGCAAGGTCACTGCTTAAGTGCATCTTTGGCACGAACAGGGGAAAACAAAAGCTGGCCAGCACCTATCGCAGGTGCCATTCTTCGATGTAAATATGAATCAAATGAACATGTATATGCCTTAAAGTTCTAAATTGCTTGCTTCGCCTCACTTCTCGGATTGCTATGTGGTGTCTAGCATTCACAGGTCTATATCAGGCAGTGTCTCTCCGCTGATGTCCCCGGTGCCCAAGTTCTTATCGATATCACTCGTCCAGTGTAATACTTGTTCCAACACCGACATCATTCTCGCCGCATTCAATCGGTAGTACTGTCTGTCGTACGGACTTAGCTTTCGATATCTCTCCTGTTTGGATTCTGTGATGTAATAGCGTTTATCATCATCAGCCAGGTAGATATCTCTGAAGTTTGTGACAGTATGGTAGAAGACTTTGATTAATTTGTTGTCATCGAATGTGGTCGTCATTTGAAGAGTGTGTGCAGTGGCCTTTCTGACAGAATAGTGGGAGTAAGATGTAAGACGAGTGGAGGGTTTTATGTCAAGTCGAGATCAATTGCCATATGCGCTTGCTAACATCTCGCTGTCTAGAAACATACGAACTTGCTTTTGCGCTTAGGCTCGAGCAGCGTGACAATATGGGAGGAAGTCCCACAGCAAATTAACAATCATGTTTTAAGACGCGCAAGCTTTTTCTTGCTTGTATCCTTGTTTCCGTCTCCGCCATTCTACCGATATCTATCTCTCGCTTCCACATCCTTCGTGTTCAGGTATGCCCCCTCAGATCAAACCCTTTGATTTCCCTACAGCGGCCGAAGCAATGAGTCGACTTATTACAAATGCGATAGACGCATTGAGGGATCTGAAGCGCGCACTTTTAGGGACAATCTCAGATTCAGCTTGCAATACAGAGATGTATAGGACGCTTGACAAACAGCAAAAACGGTACTACATAGCTTGTATAAAGGATGTCGAATACTACTTAGAGTACATGCGAGAGTGATTGGAACATATGGAGAAGAAACTAGAGGTGAATACTAAGGATAATGGAGGTGAAGCAACTTGACAAGGAACAGTCATCGTTCATAGTATTCACTATCTAAAGGACAAGAAACTCCCACCCAGACGCCTTGCAAATATGCAAAAAGCACTCATTAGTCTCGTCATATAACTTCATATCACATCTTACAACTTGGCCTTTGGCCACTGGTCCAGCAGATCCACCATCTCGAAGCGCGGCCAGTCAGGGTTGAGGCTAGGCGCCGGCCTCTCGCGATCCCATGCCCACTTCTCCTTGAGCTCTGGTTCTAGCTCGTCTTCCAGCATCTGTACGACGTACTTGCCGAGGACGGGGAAAAACTTGTAGCCGTGGAAAGAGCCGCATGTTGCAACGAAGAGACCCTTGGCGGCGGCGTGAGGCGAGATGATGAAGTCGGATGAAGTGGTGAATGCATCCCTGGGTTTCGTTAGTATTGGTTAAGTAGCAGTGTATGAACATGAAACTTACCAGCAGATACGGTGCTTGTCCATCTTCCAGTTTGCGCCCTTCTTGCCGTAAAAGACATCGTTGGCGTGAGAAATGTCCAACTTCAATGGGCCGGGGACATCCCACTGGTTATAATCCTTTCCAGATGGTGGCGCAGAGACGAAACGGCCAGGAAGTACTTCGTGTGTGTTCTTGAAGATCTTCTCTCCCCACCACTTGAGCTCACGGTCCTTGGTAGGCGGTAAGCTGCCAATGAAGGGTCCGTATGCAGCGGTGTAGCCCTGAACACCAACGGGCATGTCCTTGAACCTCTCGTATGACTTCTCGTCAAGAGTTGTCATACCTGTCGTGATACCACCAGCAACAATTCTTGATCCAGCACGGAGGTCTGGATTCCCACTTTTCTTAGCAGCCTGCTCGAGAAGTTTGGCGGTATAGGCACCGGTTGACAAAATAGTGTGCGAAGCGTTGATGGTGCTGCCTTGCTCGGTCTTGACACCTGTGCAGCGGCCGGCGTTGTCAAAGTCCAGGCTCTCGACCTTCTCGGTGACGTACTTGACGCCTTTTGCGATCGACCATTTGGTAACTGCTCTTAGTGCATCGCCGGCCTGTGCCCAACCACTTGTCTTGTTGACTAGGACACTCTTCGCTCCGTCGTAGTTCGCATCCTCGAAAAGGCCACCGAACAACTTCTTCGCTTCCTCAATGGTAACTGATTGCAAGTCTGCCTCACGTCCAAGCTTCTTGTAGTTGTCGATGACCTCTTGTGCGTAATCTGAACGGCAGACCCAGAAGATACCCGTCTCGTGGAAGTAAGGTTGCCATAACGGGTCCTCCTTGAAGACATCCTGAGCCTCAAGAGCGAGTCTGCAGTAGATGACATCGTCATAGTCGGCGCGCACAACCTTATTCCAGTCCCATGAAGCTGCTACGCGGTTATCGGCGTCCCAGGCATCTTGGTCAACGACTGTGACTTGTCGGTCCGGGTACTTCTTGATAAGGTGATACGCAGTCGAAATTCCGAAGACGCCGGCGCCAACGACGAGGTATGAAGGTTTGCTCGCTGCCATGTTGTTCAGGATAACGGGTTTATCGTCGCAGAGCATGAAGTTGAGAGAGCTTTGATGCAGCGATAAATGGTCATGACCATCGCACTGCGTATTTATACCATCACGTTGACTACACTTATCACTTGCATCGCTAAATGGCTAAGGAAAATAGTGGGCCGTTCTCGGCCACTTCGTTGTGGTCGCTGTAGACTAGGCGCGGGGCATTCGTGGAGGTTGTTTCCTTATCGAGCAAGACTTTGCGACGGGCAAGCTTGCTCACCTTTCCGATACCTTCTCCGCCGGCTGCCATGGCTCCAACTGGACATGACAAGTGATTTATCGACCGCCTATCTGCTGATATCGACGTCTGAAGCGTCGCGCACTCGTCACCGACGGTTCCGACTATCGCGACCGCCTCAACTGTCGCCGCTTCTAAGCGAGCTACCGGCTGTGGTCTGCTAACCTGATTCGGCCATGCGGCGCGATGCGTGAACTTGAGAGTGGATTGACATCACATCAAGTTATGCAACAATGTGCAATAGTTGCGGACATGGCGATTGAGAAGTCAATGTTGTAGCAACCTACACGAGTGAACTCGAAGTGCGAATGTAGTATGTTTGCGACGCTGCATTGAGCGCAAAAGACGCTCTACAAGCTAGTGCTTTCTACCAAAGGCCAAAGATCACGGTCATAATATTCTGATATCACTGAGAAACGGTTCGAGTAGCTTGTAGACTTGGGGTAACAACAAGGGCTACCTAGGTATGCTAGCGCTATATGTTGTCGACGTCCATATGGTGGCATCAACACTATCAATCTCACGCGAACTGCGGGAGGCTTTGGCCTACATGCAAGGTACACTCCCAGCCGCTGGACATATGGCCAGTGATTTACACGAACTACTCGTAGAGCCCCAGGAGCTGTGGGTACTCAAGCCCGTAACAGGGGGGCTCCAACGTATCGGAGACGTGCAAGCCACCCACAGCGAGAACAGGGCGCTCCGGTACATCCGCTAGAGCATCGAAGAGAAGCTTGTTGACGCAATAGACGCATAGGCGAGTGCAGAATCGACGCAGTGCCAGCAGACTAGAGCTGATCGCGTAGTTCAAGGGTCCTGCAGTAAGACGCCTTAGGCTCTGATCGTGTAAGCACGTCACCTTAACCTGACGAGCCCTAGCAGGATTTCCTCGCCATAACACGGTCTTCAGCACCGGAATAATTTCTCTTGTTGCGTGATTTCCCAGCGCTGACGTTCGGCTTCAAGATGAATATCTCCTGATCTGATTGGTCGCGAGTGTGGTAAAAGTCATGGCTTCCAGGAAAACCACCACCTCAGTCGAGCGACGTGTGCTCAACCTTAGTGGCGATAACTTGCAGGAAGTTAGTTTCAAGAGAGAGTTTGTCCCATTCTAAGATGTGCTTACCATAAGAATCTTCCTTAGGCTGTATCGACAAGTCTGTCTGTATCGACTTGCCGCGCGTCGGTTGGGGCTTTGAGCTCAGCGGCACTGACGGAGAGAGTCGAACCGCTGGAACTGATGGCGGCGGACCTTTAATGGGATCTCTGTAGAGGGAGTCGTCATCTTCCGTAGAGCCGTCATCTTCCGTCGAGTCGTCAATGAGGTCGACACCAAGGCAAGCGAACCGTTGGGGAAACACACATCATGTGGCTCTATTTGAACCAGTCTCTATAAGAGCGCCCATGTCAGTAAGTAATTATTTGGATATCGTGTCAGTGTAATGACTTGACTTACTCCTGTGAAACTCCTAATATGGTCTAGAGGTTCGTACATCAACGACATCTTCATCAAGAGGCTTCACACCCACCAGATATACAGCAATAAAAGCTGAAAGATGGTCTCTGAAAACTGAAGGACAGTATAAGGTGTCACTTCTAAGACCTGATAAAGTGACATCGTCGCTGACAGCTTGCGATGCTCGGCTTGGGCAGGAGCACGGCAATTCTGTTCGCTGTTAGGTTACTGACAACGCCCAATGCAAAAGCCGGTTCTTGAATCAAGTAAGACGAATGAAAGTAGAAAAGGTGAGATGGAAAACAACACGGTGAATGAGTAGGAGAATCAAGATGAGGGAGGGGGATGCTTGAGTACTGCCCGTTTGCTGCGGCACGAACCTCTTTTAGCGTGTCTCCCAGTTACACAGCGACACGCCCAATCGCGCCAACGCTGCATGAATTCGACCTGTCGTTTCCCGACCCCATCTACGACGACAAGCAAAATTTCAAGCCACGGTCACCGTCCCGTTTCCTCTCAGATCCAAGGAACTTGCTCCTACATGCACAATAAAATCTCCCTTCTCAACCACATACTGCATCTTCCTATCCCACAGCCCCCACTTGCTCACATCCAACTCCACACTGACATCCACCGTCTCACCAGCCTTAATCATAACCTTCTTGAAGCCCTTGAGCTCTTTGTTCGGCACCACAACGCTGGCAAAGACATCTTGCACATATACCTGAACTACTTCCTTGCCGTCGACATCTGATTCGTTGGTCACACTTACGGTTGCCGTGATCTTATCAGTTGCGCTCACTTCGGTCTTTGAGAGAGTGACGTTGGAGTAAGTGAAGTTTGCGTAGGAGAGGCCAAAGCCGAACTCATAGAGTGGCTGAGGGTTATTGAGAACGTATTGGTGACCGAACTGGAGTGTACCGTTTGGCAAGATAGCACCAGCATCGGTGGCTCGGCCGGAATTCAAGTAGTCGTAATAGATTGGGAGGGTACCCACATCGTAAGGGAAGGAGACAGAAAGCTTACCAGAGGGCGTGACATCGCCGAAGAGGACGTCAGCCAATCCGTTGCCACCCTGTTCTCCGGGATAGAACTGCTGAAGGAGAGCGGCTGCATTATCGGAGATCCAAGGCTCTGTGACGGGCTTTCCAGAGGAGTAGACCACGATGGTTGGTTTACCAGTCTCGATGATGGCTTGGACAAGCTCGCCCATAGCGCCGACGAGGTTGAGCGATGCGACATCTACGTGCTCACCAGTAGTGGCGTTCAGACCTTGCCAGAGCTCCTGTTGATCTCGTGACCAGGTACCGACGACGACTACTGCGACATCAGCAGCTTCAGCCGCTGCAACTGCATCGGGGAAGCCAGATTGGTCGTTTGACCAGCGCTCACAACCTAGGGCGTATGTTACTGTACCGCTAGATGCACTCTGAATACCTTGCAATGGAGTAACGTTCGTGGGGTTGTACTGAGAGCGGTAGACCACGTAATCGCCCAGGTTCGTAATGTTCGCCATGGGGCCGATGACGGCGATGTTGGCAGACTTGGAGAGAGGCAGAGTGCTGTTCTTGTTCTCAAGCAAGACGATTGAGTCAGCCTCGAGCGTCCTCGCAAGCTGAACATGTTCTTCAGGGTGGATGATGGACTCCGTCTCGTTTGTGGATAATCCTTGGTATGGGTTTTCGAAAAGACCCATTGTAAACTTCGCTCGAAGCTGGCGGCTCACGGCTCTGTCGACAATCTCAATGTCAAGCTTGCCTTCTTCGACCAAACGAGGGATGTTCGCATAGTTGTACGAGCCTCCACCCATCTCCACATCGTTACCATTCGGTAGGGCCATGAGTGTCACCGCTTCGCTGTCGATTGGTGTATCTTCGGTCTTGCATTGGCAGAGCTTGAAGTTGCAGCAGAGTCGGTCCGTGGCTCCCGCGTCTGAAGTCAACCAGTACTTGTAACCCCACTCTTCACGAAGGATCGTCTCTTGCATATGGCCATCGGCGATCGAAGGTATCCCGTCGTAAGAGTGGTAGGCACCCATAATGTTCCAGGCGTCGGCGTCGATTATAGCACGGTGGAACGGTGGCAGCCATGTGGTTCGGAGCTCCCGTTCACCCCCATGAACTGGCCCAGTATTAAGACCTTGCTCTGGGTTACTGAAACCGGCGAAGTGCTTGACTGTAGCGCTGACATTCAAACTCTGCACTCCCATAACATACTCGTATGCCATCTCGCCGGCTAAGAAACCGTCCTCGCCGTACGTCTCTTCTACTCTGCCAAAACGCAGCTCGCGCGCCAAGTCCGCAAGTGGTGCGAATAATTGATTGATACCAAGAGGTGCCGATTCCTTCGCAATAGCCACGGCCATGTCGTGAATCAGCTGCGGATCCCATGAGCAAGCCTGCCCGATCGGACTGTTGTAGATGGTCGCATTACCCACGAGCAAGCCGTGAATAGCCTCAGTCTGAACCATGGCCGGGATACCCAATGTCGTGTTATGTAAAAGGTAGTCCTGGCCAATCTTGACGCCATTGCTGATCCACTCCGCAGGTATCGGATAGCCAACGTAGAACTGACCCGCGCGGACGCGAAAGTTCCATTCGAGACCGGTCTCATTGACGACATTGGTAGTGACATTGATCCAGTTCGAGATATCTCCTTGGATGAGCTGAGCAGTCTTTTCCTCAATTGTCATACGAGAAAGAAGGTCTGCCACTCGGTCCTCTACGGGAGCTGATGCATCCTTGTAGGTTGCATTTGCTGCTGCCTGTCTGCGGACCAGATCGAGTGCGCTACTGGGAAGTAGAAGAGCGCACCCAACAAGTAGGGAGGCTGAACCGAAGAAGGACTGCCGCATATTGGTGTGAGATGTAGGTGCAGTCTCGCCCGGATACTGGGTTCTAGACAATGTATCTTGGGTCTTATAGATTTGATCCAGGGTCTACGGACCGTTGGAATATGCACCCGCAGAATCCATGATGTACCGCGGACAATTGCCTCCCGAGGCGCTCGCTGTATATTGAGGTACCGGTTCAATGGGCGACGATCGATGCAATGCTTATAAGCGAGGTGACGCCGAGAGCGTTGGGCTGTGTGCAGCGCGTTTTGGGTCTTCGAGAACACCCCTGGTGCAGATCGGAAGGCTTGCTGTATCCATATCCATTTCAAAAACGCGTGATTTTGTGACTTGACGCGTTCAATTGAAGTGATGACGACCGTGTAAAGTGTGTCGAGTCTGAGGTTTGATTGACGGAAGAAATGGTGGCTTGCGCTAGCCAAGGCGGCCTCTCCCCCGCTTCTGATCTTCAACGAACAACTCTCTCCGCACTTCAACCCCGGATCATCTCAATCATTGAACCTTTCCGAGATAGCCTGATGTACCGTTTGTGTTCCTTCGGAAACTAGGGATCAGATCCGCAAGCTTCGCTGCATGGGTGCGCTGAAAGTTTGCTCAATGACGTCGCAGGTTTTGACAACTGAAGGAAGCTTTACTTGAGTTACAACATTCATTGTAAATTATATAATACTCGAACATCTCGACGTCGACCGCGGCCGAGCACCTTCTCGCTAATTCCACTTTGATATCTTCATCGCTCTCGTTTGTAGAATTCTATGTCAGAACGATCTCAATGCATCCCTTAACCGAAAACCACACCCAAAAGTTCCAACTCTCCTTCGAACGCCGTGTCAATCGCGTACCTGGTATATCCTCCTCTTGCTTCCCTTGATAGCCAATTAACCATAAAAACATTAAAGTAATAATCGTAATAATAACATAAGAATCGTAAAGTCATCGTTCTCTCTCGCGTAAAACATCTCGCTCATAACGGTGATGAGGGAAATTAGAAAAAAAGGCCATGTCGCTAATGAAGGAATACGCTCGCTACACCGAAGAAAGCCACCCACCAAACCCTCTCTTTGTTCCTCTCACTCAAAACACCCGATGCGCCCGCCGCACTGGGCGCAGGCGGAACACCGGTGCCATACTGTGAGATTCTCGTTGAGGTAGGTGTGGCGGCAGTACTGAGCGTCGAACCAGCGACGTTCGCGCTGGAGGGCTCGGGTGTAGGGCGTGAGATGGGAGGTGCAGAGCCACGGGAGGCGGAGGGGTTGTATGAAAATGGTGGTGCCGTGGGAAATTCCGCGTTGGATTCGGTGCTAGATGGAGATGATGGTGTTGGAGTCGTGACTGTGACTGTCGAGAGGATGGTGGATGGCGATTCTGATGGCGAGGTTGACCTCGACTCTACTGCCGACGACGACGG